TCATAGTCCATACTGCTATTATGATGGAAAGAAAATCTACATGAAGAACAAATATTTATAGCATATAATCTTAAATATATACAAGACAAAAGTGGTAGTTCTTACCACTTTTTAAATAATAATATTGTTCACCTGTAAAATCTAATTTCCTGATAGTTTCTGGTTCGGTTTTGTAATATAATTTATTTACAATAAACCAAATTGAGTAAGTTTCATAATACGGCACAGACATCCCAGCAAGACTGAACTGCTATGGCCCCTGGAAAACAAAAAGAAAAGTGGAAATGAATAATGATCAACAGTAAAAATAATAGTAATAAATATAAATAAATAAAAATAAATCAACAATCAAGGACAATGAGAATTAAGATAACAATGACAGCAAATAAAATCAGAAATAAAAATGAGAGAGTTAAAGTAGTGGACTTAGAAGACAGATGGCCCGGTGTAGAGAGGCCTTGTTCCCAGCATTAGTCAAGGGGGATTCATGGCTTCCCTAAATTTTAACAATAAAAGAATATAATCATTTAATTGCACAGTTACTCAGTAGTTTGTTCTATGTCCTTACTAGCTCCATATCAGTCCTTATTCCATGAAAATAGGTGAAGCCCCAGTCCGGGGCAGCCCGGTTTTACCCCGCCATTTCCCGTGCCCGAGCCCCTCCCGAGCCCGGTTTTACCAATCCCCTACTTGTATGGTTTCTTCTTATGCACTTCTTTCTGATAGTTACAAGAGTCCATTTTGATATAAAATGATTTATGTGATTGACAAGAGAGTGTTCTTTTTCCCTACTACTAGAGGCAGCTTGACAATAGTTCCGCAGTCCAATTTGCTCTCCATTGAGAGACATCAATCATCTTGTAATTATTAGTAAAGTATAATTAAAATGAACTATAATATACATACTTACCTCTATCACTGTTAATGATCAACTGTTGTAAGATAAAGAAATGAAAAGATACAGTCAATATAAAGAAGAAGTTACAAGCCAATTGTGCTGTAGTTGCAAAAGGGAGTGGCTCAATATTACAAGCTCCTCCTTGGTCCTTAAAATGAAATGTCTTCAGTGAGTCAGTGACCTTTTGAAATAATTTAAAGAAAAGTGAGAATAAATAAAAAATATATAAAGTTTAATATAATTGTGTTGATATTTAATGTTTCTCTCTCTTTCA